TAGCGGGGTATTCTTCTGATAAACTCACTGGCAACCGAATCAAGTGCGCCCTCCCGCCACCGCGTTCGCGCTCAGAGCATATATCTAGGATACTACTAATACAGATTTAAAATCTATGATAGGCTTTGCTATACCGGTAGTACAGTAATAAAGATACAGCTGTGTAACTTGAATGACTTCACTATATTAACATTCATATTAACACATATTAAAATTCCTCTTGAGGGTCAAAAGGTTATCAGACACTTACTATTTGCACGTCAGCGGAAAGCACATTTCATAGTCCTTTCAATAAAGTGATAAAAATTGTAGGTCAGCGCTGAAACAAAAACGTTTTTCACTCGGTCCGTTAGACCATGTCCTCAGAAAATGTCTGATATCTGACCTTTCCCCCAATGCCCTTTGACCTGTGACCTTCAATTTCGCGCTGGTAATGGGTTTACTCCCCATCACACTATACATCGTATTAAGAGCGTAGGTCAAGCGTTGAGATTTGTGCCGCAATTCCGTATTTCCTCCTATACCTAAAGTTAAGGGGGAAATATTCCCCCTCCATTGACACACCTTGACCTTTGACCCCCAAATTCGACATCCCGAGTCTTTTTCGCGATCCACCCCGACGTCCCAAATATCAAAACCGTACGTCGAGCGGTTAAGATTCGTGCCGTAACTGTTGACGCACGGACGGACATTCATGCGATTCTACAAGCTGCATCTGACTTCGTCTGCTGAGCTAAAAACTACAACTCTATGCTACCCAGCTCGAACACTGAGACATACTCTGTGCACTCGTTAAGAGCTGTCAGAAGTTTGTTGATGGTCTGAGAGTTCATCTCGATGACGGGATGTCCGGATGCCTCGTTTATCTCTGACAGAGCAGCCACAGCGTTGGCAACGACCTGATGAATCAAGAAAGCACAGTTAGATATATCGATAGATGTTTACTGAGCACCATCCGTCCGTCCTATTGCTGGCACCTATACATGTACATATATATGTATATATATAAATATACACAATTGTGGACAGAATGAATGTAATGGTAACTGAAGTTTAACATATATGGCAAGACCATTAAAAGTATGTCTGGCGAATTAAAAATTGTGTGTGCATCCTTATACAAACATGACCAGTTACAGTAATGACTGCACGACAGAGAATAATACATTATCAGACGTGTAACAACCGAGTTAGACACACTGCAGTTGCGAGCACTTAGCACGACGCAAGACACATGCAATGCATACAACGCATGACGACACGCCGCTGTAGTGATGTCGATATTAATTAACACAATGACTGTTTCCTGTACGGATAATAAACAACGTTACAGCTGTGACACGCGTGACGACGTGCCGCGCTGCGTGATGACGCGCCGTGACACGCGTGACGACGTGCCGCGCTGTGTGACGCGCCGTGACACGCGTGACGACGTGCCGCGCTGCGTGATGACGCGCCGTGACACGCGTGATGACGCGCCGCGCTGCGTGATGACGCGCCGTGACACGCGTGATGACGCGCCTCGCTGCGTGATGACGCGCCGTGACACGCGTGACGACGTGCCGCGCTGCGTGATGACGCGCCGTGACACGCGTGATGACGCGCTGCGCTGTGTGACGTGCTGTGACACCTCACCGGCTCACCATGGGGTTGGAGTCGGACAGCAGGTCGCGCAGGGCATCGAGGAAGCCCTGGTCCTCGACGAGCTGAGCGTTGATGTCGTACAGTTTAGCGACGCAGACTGCCGCCGTCTTCCTCACATACGGGTCCTCGTCCTTGAGGCACTTGCGCAGCGGCTCACACAGATACTCGGTGATCTTGTCTACGCGGATGCAGCCCATCGTGCGGACGGCGAGCGCGCGGATCAGCGGGTTCGGATCCTCGCAGTCCTGCGGTAGAGCGGACATGTCGAAACAAGAGGCTCCTTTTAACATTTTTTATTGATGCATTTATTACGCTTATTATTTTATTATTTTATGATTTATTGTTTGTTTTTGTTTTCGCATGTATGACACATGAACAAGAGACCATTTTTGTTATTCATTTGTATGTATTACATGTTGTTACCTGTTTTGAGTAGCAGGAATAATTGAGGTAATAATAATATGAAAGTCACGTACTGACACTTTTAAAGATTTGAAGTAGTAGCTTCCACGCCACCAATGACGTAGCTTGGTAACACAACCGATGATGCACATCAATATAACGCTAACACGGTGAGTGAGAGTTAGAACAGGATGGAAATCAGAATCGATATCTGGGCAATCTATGCGGCACATATATCAACGATAAAGTGTGAGGCATATAGTCTCACGATCCTACCTTTACGAATGTGTTGACAGCCATGATGGCCATGTCGGGTTGACTCTTCGCATAGTTCATGAGATATAAATAGACGAGCTTTTTCAGTTCGAGGTTGTCCGTCTGCATGCAGTTGACAACGTCCGGAAAGAGGGCGCTGAAGTCACAATAGTAATTATAAGGTTATCCGAGTTCTAACTACATTCAAATCTGTGTTAGCAGACACCGCTATATAACAAACACCTGTCTATAAAGAACACATTCGACATTTCTCTTGAGTGCTGGTTATACTGTAAAACCACTTCTGTAAAATTGACATCTGCCAATAAAAGAAAATCTTTGAGGTTTCCCTTCAGTGAGCCATATATATACAGGTTTGCCTGAACTCAATAATTAGGAAAAACTAAACTAAGTTCTGAATACAGGTTACTATGTGATGTTTAACCTCCTGACTCATGTATAATTTAATGGGTCTAAATGAATTTCACGACTCTAACCATGTGCACCAGGTAAATATTAAGCCCATGGTGCAAATATTCATTCCGTACCTGGTCCTGGAGTACCATGGTATATTTGTTTATTGTTGAATTGGTGGCGCCACATGGTAGATTTGAGATTTTTACCCAGACTTATGCTCGTATTATTAAACCTGGCATGACGTAATAGATGTGTTACGCTCACCTGACGTCCTTCCCAACAGTCATGCTGGCAATAACCTTCTTAACAGCTTCACGCTTCTTTTCCTTCTTCTCGCTGTTCAACTCTCCCTTCATCTCAAATATTTCACCTGTCACAGAACATTAACGAGCAACGCTTACAGTTACAATGCAAACATTCCCAGTTTACGTGTAAAAGCCAAGACACACTGCAGCGACAGCGACCGACCGTAACGACAAACGACTTTTCAGAAAATTAGAAACTATTGTTTCCTATGAGCCATTGCACACTGACGCGACGACGACCGACGACAACCTCGACGACAAAAATATTTAGGAACGTTTCTATTCCCCAGCGACAGTCGCCAGCGACACTTGCATAGCCACTTAAATAGCCAATCGCAGCCGTTTCCATCGGCACGTGACATTACGATTACGTCATAAATAACCCATAATCAGGGTTCGACACTAACCCATGTCCGACCGACCTAGTCGGGTAAATGCTTGGTCCGGTCGCATACAACCAGAGTGCTAGTAGCCCAACTGGTCGTGTTAGAATTGGTCATATATATTGCACTGAAAGGTCACCTCTGGCTAGACTGGTTCGCGGCCGCACTGTTTGTCGCAGAGCGTGTACATTGTCTAGCAGAACGTGAGGCCGGATACCAGTCTACCTTTCGGCAAAAACAATAACATGGCTTGCTGCCAGCCGCAGTAGCCGATCGATAAACCGTGTGTTCGTGTATGCCCGTGGTAGAATACGAATTCTGCACGTGAACTCGGCCCACGCGTGATTTTAAAGCGCGGGAAACAGCATCTATGAATTCATACGATGACACACTCTTATCTAAATAAAGTTTTTCATAACAATGGTCTGGGTCTGGGCTAGTGGTTTTCCTCAGTTACTAGCCCGATGGTCTAGTGAAATAAAAAGTTAATGTTAAACCCTGCCATAATGCTAGCCAAGACATAGACTGGTCTCCGGCGCTAAACTCGCAATGCATGTCACAAACAATGGAGCCGCGAACCAGTCTAACCAAAGCGTGCAGCCACGGCAAGCTACGGTCACTGTATGACACAGTACGTACAGTACATGATAATTTGCTGCGTATATTTTACTTTATTATCTTATCCTTATACCTAGAGTTGTTGCAGCCTAGCTGTTATTTAAAAGCAGCAGCAGGAGTTTTGCCATTTGTTCATGTGATGATGTGTACCACTGTGGCGAGTGCTGGGTGAACTTTGACCTAACGTCGGTCGCTGTTGCTGCAGTGTGTTTGCGCCAGTCGCCGCGACTTTTGTCGTTTGTCGTTACGGTCGGTCGCTGTTGCTGCAGTGTGTCTTGGCCTTAACATTCTCGGCGTCAGTCATGCCACCATATAAACAAGTATAGAGAATTTAACCTAGTACTAGTAGTAGTACCGTATATGATCGTGTAATAACCGCGGGCGCCTATAAGCCGCACCTCAATTTGAATCGGGTAACCAAGTATTGCGCCTAGTATATTTCCCCTCACGGTATGGCGCACTTATAAAATGCAGAGTAAATACAGGGTTGAAATCTGAGGCCAAATTTGCAGTTATTACGCGAGTATATACGGTAGTAGTATCTAGAAAATTTCAACAAATCAAGAGCTTAATGTTTTGCTTACCTTTTTTGGTGGTCGTAAAGTACTTGGAGTCTGTCATGGTGATGTTAGATTACGACTTCCTTCTGAAATGAGTTATTACATTTACGGAGCAGCTTCTCAGCAATGCCTGTCGCTGATTGCGGTGAGCGGTGATTCACTGACACTGTCACTGAAGCTCATAGAGTCTATGTCCCCCAGGATACTGCCGGAACGTACCCTGGTAACTATCTGATCAGATATGGTTAGGGTTAGCGTTGGGGTTAGGGTTAGGGAGTAGGCGACTCCCTAGACTTGTTAGTGGAGTAGGCGAGGTACGGTCCGGCATATTAGATAGTACCAGCAGAGCATATAAATCCTGTTCGTTTATGGACGTAGATATTCGTCCGAGCATCGGACACCTGTTCGTATGCGCTATTCGTCCGAGCAGTTGTTGCGCATGCGCTGTTCATGTTGTATTACATAATTAAATGTAATATAATGCTAGTCTAGGGAGGCGCCTATACTCCTGGCTCTGGGGGGGTGTTCGTGTACATGACTCTTTTAGAGCAAAACCTTATATTTTCTCATTCCTTATGATAAGACTCTCAAAAAAAGTTTGGGTAACACTTCTGGGTCAAGTACGTTTTTTCTGTACAGCTAATTATGCGATTTTCGGTTAGGCGCCAAAGTGAAAAAATGACAATATTGAAGTTTCAGAGCATAAATATTTATTAAGCAACCATAAACTTTCAAATTGCACTGTATTACATTGAATGAGTATTGCTAATAACTTTCTAGCATGATTTGTTGCCATAAACTTTGTTTCATAGTACGAAATGGCTACATTTTGCTCAATTTTAGCCAAAAAATTGCCAAAAATCGCATTCACTTTGAAAGTAGCTCTAAGTATGATTGCTTCTCACTCACCCAATATTGTAGCTAGAGCTACCAATATTGGCCAAAAGTTTCCTTATTAAGTGCTCTAAGTGACCCAACCTTCAAAATGATGATTCCCCGCTCTATATGATGCACAGGGGGGTTATTGTAACTCAGGGTCAACCATACCCCCAAATAGCGCCTTTTGCGAATTTCGTCAAATGATGATAACTCCGTAAGTAGGTGACATAGGAAGTTGATTTTGTGGCAACATATAGGTTTTTTGACACCAAGGAATTGATTGACACCATTATTATACATTTTGGATTTCACCTAATTAGAAGAAGTATAAGATGTCTGCCAAAAGCGATAATTAAGACACGAATTGTCCCATAGAAAGATGATTGAAGGATATACATGCATCATAGAACTGTACAGGTGCACGAAAGAAACGACAGAAGGAGAACACCCATGCATATCATGAATGCAGAATCTGTTCATGGTCTTGGACGCTGAGGCAAAATTGTGACCACAACCCTAAACCATGAAGGACTTG